GGGGAACGTGCTCTGGCAGAGGTAAAATAAACAGCGGGCTGGTTTGTGGGCCGGCGGGACACGGCTCCCCTCCCCGCCGGGTGGTGTTGGGGCAGCGGAGGAATGCACCCGCGCGGGGTGTTGGGCAGAAGTCAGCTTTGTTTTCGATTTATAATAAAACACATCAAAGGGAACCATCCAGGTCCAGTTTCTGCCAGGCCGGGGTTACAATTCTCAGCTCAATGATCAAGGACCTCTTTGCATTGCCTTTGCCCCTTCGGGTCAGAAAACGTCCATCACTTACAGACTCCCCAGAAACGAAGAAGGGAGCAGCTCTGGGCCGCAGAGCCGGTTCGTTTAACCGGGAAAATAGAAAGCATGTCCCCTTTTTTTTAAAAAATAAACGACACCATTCTTTCGTACGTGTTGGCGATAATTATATGGTCTGGGGAACTTTTACACAAAGAAAAACTACAGAGCAGACCGTGTGAGAATGGAAAAATAAACCTGATTTCACTTTTTGAATCCGTAGTTCAGCAGCTCCACTTGAGGGGGAGGACGCTAAACCGAGAAAAGCACCGGGAAAGAGAGAGAGCGAGCGAGAGCTGCCCTCCCGGGCTCCGGCGGGGAGGGAGGCGGAGGGGAGAGCCGGGCTCCTCGCCGCCTGGGCCCCGCTCGCCCCGGGCTCGCCCGTGGGCTCAGCCCAGCTCCCATTCACATCTCGCTCCACCCGTGGCTTCCCATTCCCACTCCTGGCGGACGGCACCTTCAGCCCGGCTCCTCGAGCCCCTTAAAACGCGACTAAAACGCAACCAACGGCAGCGACCACCGACCGACGGGAAAAGGTAACACACCAGGAGGAATTATGTAGTAAACGGCATTCGATCGCCGGGTCCCCGTCCCGCAGGAAGCGTGTCCCCTGCCCCCCGCCGCCAATTACAGCCCCAGCGGCTCGTTTTACACTTAAAAGGTAACATTGATGCTTTTTGTTCTAATGAGATAATACATAAACACCCGATCCCGTGCCGGGACAGTTTCTTAATTGCGTCTTTCAATGCAAACGGAAACTTTATCTGCCCGCGAGAGCGGAATTTGCCCGCAGCCATTATCTGCTGTTGGCCGAGACCCCCTCCCACCCTCCCAACGGCGGACGAAGCCCGCCCCTTCGGGTAACCGCTGCGGCAAGGGGGTATTTTAAGGGAGAATAATTTAGCTACGAATCCCCTCAGGGAATAACATTCTCAAGGCAGTAAAGAAAAATAAGAGAAAAAGGACAGAAATATCCGAAGACGCCAATTCCCGAGGGCCGGGGTTTGCGGGGGCGCCCGGCGGTGCCCGGCCCGGCCCAAGCGCGGCTCTGGGGCGCCACCTAGCGGTGCCCGCCGCACCCGCGGCCCGGCGGCGGCTCGGGGGCG